CTCTCTCTCTCTCTCTCTCTCTCTCTCTCTCTCTCTCTCTCTCTTACATATCGGCTAGCCAAGCTGATCTCAACCGTAGCGCCTCTAGCGGAGGAATACAGTCAACTGAGGTTTTCGTAATAAGGAGACGGCGACGTTTCTCACGCATAAATTTATGATTTCAGACTTTGAGCTAAAATATCTCAGCTTCTAGAGCATGTAGAGCAAAAGTAAAGACAGTTTTATTGAGTAATGTAAACCCGAGGAATCGATTAATATTTATACGTTTACAATATGTGATATAATTATAATATTAAATTAGCTTATAAACGCGTGCACGCGTGTTTGTGTGTATGTAATGATAAAATCAATCATCTTTAGATTTTTGCGTCATATTCATATTTGTTTCTTACACACATACATGCAAAAAAATGAATTAGTAATATCAGCTAAACCGCGGAAGCTGATTCAAACTTAGTCAAAAGGCTAATCGTTTAGCTGTCACTGCTAAGAATTGGCTATGACAACTAAAATGCATTCGCTATAAAATACAAATATATTAGATGACATTAAAAATGCATATTATTTCAAGTAGCTAAGAAAATGACAATTATTTCTAAATTTCTTATCGTATGCATATATTAAAGAAGTTTGCCGCACAGCTACAATCATTTATTACAGTCATTTGTTTCTAGCAGCTAATATTTCTCGCTGTAGCGCCTGAGTTTAAACAGCGAATAAATTTAGCTTTGGTATACTGAGAAAAATGGCTTGGTGAATACTCGTCTTATGAAAGTAATATGGTGAATTCATATGCGATAATCTAGTTCACATATCTAATATTCTGATTATGATGCCTCAACGCATCTGGTGGTCAATACCGAGACATTTAGTTGTAGGCATATAGACAGTTTGGTAATTCTCTCTAGACGTGCGGTATTATTGACGCGATAGTTAATTGTTATTCGCTGCAACGTTTCCTTTTACTATACTAATTTGTAAAGACGTCGGTGCTATAAAAGAATGGACGCTGAAACCGTCAGATATTTGGAAGAATAGAATTTCTTAAAATATGTCGACGAAAATTTAGAAGTAAATATATAAATATTATATACAATAAGTATATGAAAATTATATATAATATAATATAATATAATATAATATAATATATTATAATATAATATAATATATAATATAATATGGTTAGATTTTGGGTTAGGTTTTATTATTTCAATTATCATAATTGTATGCTGTACCAGACTGTTTAGTAAACATATTTAAGCATCATTGTAATGCTACCTAGACAATACGCTCACCAAATAGTTTGATATCATTGACTAAATATCTTGTTACACGATTATTCACCATATCGTTCGGTAAACCTAAATAGAATTCTGGTTAGTATCATCAGACATTTCTCTCAATGTAGTACTGACATTAACTGTCCCTATTCCAGTAACACATCTTATCTGCCGCAGTTATTTTTTAGCTCTGGAAGCTAGTTTTTTTTTGCGTGTAGAATCCATGCTTGCTTCAAGCGATCTCTATCGGGACAAATCTTATATTCAACGGATGATTAGGTCGAAGAGTTATATCCGTAATCATCTGCACATCTTTTAAATAATTGACAGGTTCCAAGTAGAAATTGCGCACGATGGGTGCTATCATGGCCTTCAACTCCAACATAGCGAAACGTTGGCCTGCCATATATAATTTGTGTATTAGAAACTATTCACACATAGAGGTGTGAGCATCACACTAGCTTACCTATACAATTCCGTGGTCCCGCGCTGAATGGCAGATAGGAATAAGGATGACGATTTTGTATTTTTTCAGGCAAAAATCTGTCTGGATCGAATACATTGGGATTCGGCCAGAAATTGGGATCTCTATGAACGCCGTAGATATTGAGATGTATAATTGTTCCAGAAGGTATTACATAATCTGTAAAGTGTGTTACATGTATAATGAGATATAATTTATAAAAGACAATTAAATATTTTAATAATGTTTACGTATAAAAAAATATAAAAAATTAATCATATTATTCATACATATAATTTCGATTTAATTGCGACAATTTTGAAACGTTAAATTTTAAGTATGTTTAAATATTCATAATGATTTATCGCTGTTACCATGTAATCGCACATCCTCTGCAGTGACTCGCGTTATGAAATACACACTGGGGTACAACCGCAACGCTTCTTTCAAACATCGATCTAAATACGATAAATTCTGCAACGACGTCATAGTCAACTTTCCTTCACACTCTTTCATTACTGTATTGACTTCCTCCCTGACGCGATTCTGTAGCGACATTGATTAAAATTATATATTCGACTACTCCGTGATATTTTCATATACACACAAAGATAATAATTTCAGCAATTGTCTACGTGTATATTTATATTTATTTATTAGAGAGAGTAGTTTTTGATTAATCTTGTATCCAATCGATTAATTTCAATGATACGTGAAAAAAATACACAGCAACGAATATTTAATGCTTCTACCTTTTTAATAAAAATTAATTAACGACTTAATGATTAAACAAAATTAATTAATTGCTTTTTTGAATTTTTATATATCGCTTGTTTTTTTCTGGAAATACCTGAATATCCTTGTGTTCCGCTAGCAGTAATAGAGTGAAGCATATAGCTATCGATGTTGTGTCATGACCCTATAATCAGTTTGTGTTAGATGCCTTCGTAAATATCAGGCTATTATGAAAAATCACAAATAAACCTACTTCGAACATAAAAGTATCCACTTCTTCTCTGATATCCAAATCACTCAAATTATTTTCCCGCGACGCTGATATTAAAAGATCCAACATGGCGAGTCGCTTTTTTCGAGCTGGATTAGAGCAGAAATACTTCGATTACGATTTTGCGATATTAGAATAAAGTTCGAATTTAAACTTACATTACGTACTTCCATATACTTCTGTGTTATCTGTTTCCATTGCATTGTCATTTGGAACATTGTGCAAATACTTATTGTCGAAGCGTTCATGATAAATTTTTCTCTCCGCAATTATCTAAAAATAATGTCAACGTGAGAAAATTGATTTTGCGTCTTATTGCCTTTTTACTATTGAATGTTTCAATATTTTTTATCAGTACTTTTATAAACGACATTCGCGTTTAAATGTGTACCGAGAAGTACTGAATATTGAATAATTTGATTTTTACGTACTTTTTCTGTGAACCCATGCAAATTTCGTAGTGTCTTGTTTTGTAATTTGTTCGTGGATGTCAACGCGAAGATCCAGCGGTAATGTAACCAGGGTCTTACTAATCTAAAAAGCATAATTATATAAAACTGGGACAAAATCTGAGAAAATAATAATATAATAGTAAATATTAGTAGTTTCTGAATAATCATGTAAAGGGTTATAAGTAATGGGTTATAAATAAAATTTAATACTGAGTACTTCAAAAGTTATACATTACTGTATTCTTTTTCTGGTTGCTTTTATTTTTTTTTCTTCGCGTTATATAAATCGTGCGACTAATAAGATATAAGTTTGTTTTCGATTCAATTACACGTCCAATTTTTTACAATATTTTAATATTCGACATTTTAAGAGATTTAAATAATCTTGTTTGAAACAGAAAGATTTATAACGGGCCATACATAATTTGCGGATTGCATATTTTCTTTTTGTTCGTATTTACCAATAATTACTATGTCTATTTGTGCCATCATGTAAATACGTATATTAAAATTATTAAATTACCTATAAAGAAAGAGACGACCCATTTGGCGAACCTCCTGTCGATATTTTACTTGAGCTGCACCGAGATTGTGCAGAGAAGTTCCCATGGCAGTTTCTACAAGTACAGGCAGTTCTTTATACTAAATAAGTTCTCTCTCAATTATATGACAAATCTATATGATTATTTACCGCATATTGCATTTAATGTATGTTCAGAAACAAATGGTAATAAATCCATTTCAACTGTCCCACCAACATTCCTCAATTTCTCTACCATACGTTCGCCCTCCTCAGTTAAAATATCAACAAACTCTCTCAGTATATTGAAATGGAATGTGGGCGTCAGTATCTTCCGCCGTGAGTGCCATTTGGCACCTAAAACAGACATAAAATTATCGCTTAGATTATCTCTTTAACCATTTGCAATTAGAATATTACTGCGAATCGCGCAATTACTCTGGAAAATGAGAAAAATTATACTAAATGAATAAAGAAAATGAAAGAATGATACCAAAATCTTTCGCATATCGTGTGTCACCTCCATGCTTTTGTGTTTATTATTTAATTAATTAATTTTTATATGACATTTATTACTTCAGATTTATCTCTGTTTTGTTCCCCATTTCGACAAACAGTCGTCGTCAAATTGCTCGATAAGATTAACATATTAAAGGGGACTTTTTTAAACTCGATTTTAAAGACACTTGCGCTTAATGAGCAGTAATGAATATTCACATAAATTCAAATTTTATCATTTAATCAAAATTACGTTATTTCACAGATAAAAATTTGCCATACGCCAAAGGTTGATTGCTATGCTCATTTAACAGAATACATAATCAAGTTTGCTTTGTAAAATTATTACATTTGCATTTATTAGTATCATTTCCGAATTTGGACAAATATAAGTGCTACATTTAAGTAATATTTACTTTATCTATGTAAAATAATGACTTGAATATGCCTTAGCAAATATTTACTAGAAATATACTTGACTATATCCACTGCGAATGTAAAAAAGGGTAGGGAAATAAGATAATGGTACAATTTTACAAAAGAAAAAAAGTAAGACGCCGAGTACGTATCAAAGAAAAGAATCAAATAAAAAATACCAAGCAAAAAAGACCAAAACAAAAATCATTATCATAACAAAAACTATAAAACGCAAAGTAACATGTTAACTTAAACAAAGTGCAGATGTTTTAAATTAATTTAATTAAAAAAAGAAGTGAGATCAATAGAATTAATCCAGTACATATATATATGAGTATTTATTACGCAAGTAATTGTGTGATAAATATATTGTGTGATATTATAATGTTCAGATATTTTGAATAAGAAAAAAAATTTTTTTAATCAATTATGTCCTACGTCAATTTGTTGTTTTCTATATCTATAGTTGAGACACATCATCTCTAATAGCATATATTGATTTCACATACGTTTTCTAAACGTATGTATCATTTCATAACCGTTTGTAAAATGTTTCTCACATGTTTCTAAATGGTATATACTAACCGAGAAGTTTTCATATAGGATACCGTAATTTATCATATTTTATTAATATTAATAATTGAACAATTATTAATAATTGAGCAATTGTTAATATTAATAAATTAAATTCAATTATTAATATTAATAAATTATGATGAATTATGGTATACTACATGAAAACGTTTCGATATTAGTATATACCATTTAGAAACGTGTGGGAAACATTTTACAAAATGTTATGAAATAGTATATACGTTTAGAAAACATATATAAAATCAATATATACTATTAGGGATGATGTGCTCCAACTATAGATATAAAAACAAATTGACATAAGACATAATTGATTAAAAACATTTTTTTTCTTATTCAAAATATTTGAACATTATAATATCACACATTATATTTATTACACAATTACTTGCGTAATAAATACTCATATACGTACTTGGTTAATTCTATTGATCTCACTTCTTTTTTTAATTAAATTAATTTAAAACATCTGCACTTTGTTTAAGTTAACATGTACTTTACGTTTTGTAATTTTTGTTATGACTATGATTATTGTTTTGGTCTTTTTTTCTTTTGTAAAGACTGTTACGATCTCATTGCTTTTTGTGTAGATTATTTAGGTACAAATCTTTTACATTATTTTTGTAGCAAAGAAAATGTATGCACCTTTGAAATTTCGTGGCTAACTGCATTTTTTTTATTGTGGGATCATTAATTTAAATCCATTTTGTATGCTTATTACACACAACGTTTATATAATGTCCATTAGTTATGCCATTGTGAAAAATTGCACTAATAATTTTGTATATATATATATATATATATATATATATATATATATATATA